TCTGTGATTCTGTGATTCTGTGAAATGAAGCCGTGGTTCCGAGGAAGGGTCTAATGCTGCACAGGAAGTGATCTATTCAAAGAATTATAGGGGTACTTTTCTGTGATTTACTGGTTTACTAAGGCTATTAAATGTGCTTTCACTGATTTGAAACCCTTCCTTCTGATGCTTCCTTGTTAGAAGGTGATACTTTTGCTGCTGAGCAACTGGAACTGAGAACTGGAGGGGACTGAGCCAGAGAGACGCTACTTGCTCGGGCCTGCACGAGGATGAGCCAGGGATAACCGTTCCTCTTCTTTCTCTGGAGGACACAGCTACCAAACCACAACAAAAAATGGGTGAGTTAAACTCCAAACCTGGTCACCGTATTGATTAAGGAATGAAAAAAAAGGTAAAGGAATAATTAAAAAGAGAACAAACTCTCCAAGACCACCAGAATTTGATTGGATTAAAAAAATTGTATTGGATGTCCAATACGAAATAATAAACATGAAGTTATTAAAAAAAGTCAGAGTATACAGCAAATACTACAGAAAAGCAAAAAAATTGTACAGAAAGGTAGACGTCTACAGCAGTCCTCGAAATTATTCTACATGAGAATCAAAACAATATACAGGTTTGGTTTTTTTCCCCAAACGTCTCTGAGGGAAGCTGCCACTTAACAGCTTGACTGTGACAATACAAGGATACACAATGCTCCAAATTTAAAATCACAGGGTATGTAAGAAAACGTAGCATTAAAATGTGAAAAAGTGCAATACAGATTGTACACTGAATAAATGTTTTTCCTTTTTTTTTTTAGTTTAGCCTTAAAAAACCAACTTTGAACAGTTGTTTTATCATTAAAAATATTCCCCCCCTCCCCAAATTCAATGACAATATTAACATTCATGATGTTATACATAAGTAATATTCACAAAGACCCACCAGCTAAGAATACTGTGTATGTATGATGGTATTTCTTTGGGTATAGGTAAAAAATAGGCAAAGGAAAACAGACATCCCCTCCTTTCAGGACAGGGTGTGTACTTTATTATTTAAATACATATTCTGTAGCTTATTCTGCCCTGAATTGTGTTGATTGAAAGTCCACACATCAGTTATCCAGGTGGCCCACGGTGCTCCAATTCATTGGATTCCCTCCCCCCCCAGATAATAAATAAACCCAGCAAACGGCCTAGAAATGATAACACAGAGAGTCCAGGAAAAGAAAAGAAGTCAAAAACTACAACCCAAACCCCTGCTGCTCTCTAGGATGATTCGCTGGCTCTTCCTTCTCTGAGGGACAGGGACTACAGAAATAGGCCCACAGCTTTAGTTTTAGTCACATGGATAAAACAAAATAATTGAAGCAAAGTTCTTGGGGTTTTTTTACATTTAAATTTACGCAGACTACAGTATTTCCCATTAATGTTCCACTGGGTGCAGCCATCCTGCAGAGCTGCTGTGGACTGCACCCGAAATGCCCAATACCTGCGCATCCCGTGTCCTCACCGTTGAGCTTTGAGATCACAGATACCAGCACCTGCAGGAACAGAGTCTCCATCTGCATCATCAGGAAGGTTTGAGCTTCCTTTCATCTTACAACTGAAATCGCACATGAGTTTGTTAGGCAGCTGGGAATGGTTTTTCTTCTTTTTTTTACTACAATACAGTCCCTCTTTTTATGCCGTTGCTTCTCAAAGATTATGGCAGAGCCAGGAAATCATACATGGAGAAAACAAATCCCCTTTTCCTTTCCTTCATATAGGAGCTCCCTTTTGCCTTTCCTTCCTCTCTAGACAGATATGTGAACAGCACCTGAGTCACTGATACTGTTTTTATTTTCCTATGGTTTCTGAAGTGTAAAAAAACCCACTTTTTTTTTTTTTGCCTTACTAATGTCTCTGAAGAATCCCTATGAGAAGGATTCTTGTTTAAATGGCCTGGGATAGAGAAACTGCACTGGGGTCGGCCTTGCTGCTGAAGGATCCTGTGGACACACGTTATGTTGCTGATGGTTCACCGCTCTCTGCTCCTGGGAGGTCTCAGTGGCTCAGACCCAAGCCCCACCAGCAGAGACGTGGTCGTGTGCGCTGCTCGCTGCGGCCTGTGCCAACTTGAAGGTTTCACGATGCCACCTTTAACCTAAAAACACCAACAGAAAAAGAGCACTGTTGCCAAAATAAGCTGGTAGCGTCACCTAAGTGTAAGGAACCCTACTTTACAGAAGGAAATTATTTTTTTCGATGTTTCTAAATGAGACTCGCACTGCAATTCAGTAACCAGAGACACAGTATGCTGAAGTTACAAGGAAGGACGTTACAGAAGATGCTTTCATTTTCTTCAGTCTTTTGAGTCAATGTAGAAAGACAGGAAAACAACGATAATGAAGCCTCCCATTGGATCCCCTCCCCTTCCCCATCTACTTTTCCCCACTCAAAATATTGAAACTGCACAAAAAGCGACAAACAAGCGTTTCAAATTACATTTCAATTCAGACAGACTGGTAAATCTCACAGTGATGAGAGGAGAAAAGTCAGGCTTTTAATAATTATAATATAAAAATAATAAAAAAAGCTTACAAATAGCAGTGCAGCATCCCAAAAGGCCATGGATTAACTGCCAGAAGGGGACATGATCATACGCAGAATAAAAAACAAAACGGAACAACCCACACTGGCAATGAATTTTCATACACAATATAACAAGCAGTCAAACGTCAGTCTAGGCTGTGGAAAACAAGAGTTTGTCCTTTTTTTTTTTGATTACAGTATTTTTTTCCTTTTTATAAAAAAAAAGATAAAATAAAAACACAAATAAAATTGTACATAAATGCAAATGTCCAACACTGAAAAGGCAGGGCAATCACACCACCGAGACAAAACCTGACCAGAAAAAAACCCCAACCAAACATGAAGTCCACTTTTTTTTCCTTTTGTCTGGATGCTGGATTTCAGCCTGATGTGTCCCATCCTGCGCGGTCTCAGCAGGTCAATGGAATTCAGCTTGGCAGTGACTTCATTGCAGGACAGTGACAAGAAAGGTCATCTCTTTCTGACCCGCTGTAGCACAAATCACTGGTTCGTTTGCTTGCTTTCCATGTACGCTCTCATGTGCTGGCCCTTTCTGGTTTTTTTTCCTTTTTTTTTGTTTCTTTTATTCTTTTTTCTTCTTTCTTTCTTTGTACAATTCCTTGCGTTTCAAGGCTGAGTCCCAAGACTTGTGACACTGTCTGGAGTCATGTCCTGGTGAAGGTGGTCACGCTGTAGTGATGGCATTAAGGTCCTTCATCAGTCCTTCCAGGTGGGCCATCTCTTTGGTCAGCTCATCAGGTTCGTAATTCTGGAGGAGAAGAAAAAAGTTATGGACAAGGTGACTGACTCGCTTTAAACAGAGGCAGAATAAGCAATGAGAAATACTCAGTGATTTTTGGTGCAGCTTGTGTCCTTGACAAATTAATAAGCAGAAGCAGATTTATCGACAGTGACAGGAATTAATAACTTGAGACAAATCTCTATTTAAGTGCAGGTCTTTTTGCAATAGTGATTCGTAGTTTTACTGATTTTTAAGACTGTGATCATCTTCTCTGTTTTCCTTGTATCTATTCCTGCTTCAAGAGAACAGCTTCCTTTGAACAAAAGTAGATATTTTAGAAAAATCTTCCCATCTTAACTGGAAAAAACGTCGAAGGAATCACTTCAATAAAACTGTTCTGAGAATCATTATGCTTGCTAAAAAATCACACTCCCTTTTTAGCCTCAATTATCCAGCTTCAGCGATACTGAACAGCTGCCATCACTGCATTATCAATGCCTATGTGCAGACAGATACCATGAACCCGCTCCTCTCAAGACCTTTTCTAAGCTGACCGAGTCTTTCCCAGTAATACTAAAGCTACTGCTCAGCTGATTGTGCATCATTAAACTGGAGTCCTTCCCAGACTTTATACTGCACTAATTTATTAATGAAGAAATTTATTAATGGCTGTATTTAAGTATTATAATTTTTTTCTGAACTAATGAGTATATAAACTAAATATGTCAACTTAAACAAAGAGTAAAGCAGAAGTGACAGCTAAACAGAAAGGCAAAACTGCACCAAATTAAGCATGCATACAGCTTCTAGACCAGCACGAACAGAAATAAAACCAAGAGGGTGATAAAAACAATGTGGCAGAAGGAAAGGACAATAAGGAAACAAGAAAAAAAGAGAAAAATTCATTCAAAATAAGCATTTCCTGTAGCAGTAATGCAAGAGCTACTGCAATCACTTCTTGGCTTTCAGTTTGAAAGGAAAACAGCTCACTTAAAAGCTATTTCAAAGACTGCTTTTTTCCCCAGAAAGTCAGAACTTTCATATGAGCAGCTAAACCATATTTGGGACGATGGCTTTAAATGATTTAGCATTAATGCTAAGTTTTCCCTTTGCGATGGCACTGGGGATGCTCTGCAGCAGCACTGGCAGCTGCATGTTAACAGGATGCAGGCACAGGATGCTTGCAAAACAAACACAAATAAACGCCATCTCCAAGCGAGCATGAACACAACATCCTAAGCTGTACAGCAGAGCACCCAGCACTGTTGGAGGCCTTCAGCTTCGTGAACAACAATGCTCTTTACAGCAAGACAAGCAGGCAGAACACAGATGTGCAGGGCACTTCTACAGCTTCAGTACAGAACCCTGCATGGAGCAGCCCAGGTCATAAATTAAAACTCCATTAGGTGCTACACACTGTAAAGAATGAAAAGACAGATGGGAGCTGTCTTCACTCTCCTCTTCTTGTAATTGTGGTAGGCTCGCAGAAACCAGCAGCACTGAGCATGAGTCAGGGAAGGAGATCTCGGCAAACACTGCTCAGCCAAAATGCTGCAAAAGGTTTTTCAGTTGTTGACTTGGAATAGGTGGAAGCACTGTGTATGTTCAGTGTGGTGTAATTAGGAATAGAGGCATGCTCTGAAGTAATTTTCAAATTTAGAAAGCACTGCTAATACTTGCAATCTAAGTGCCTGTTCTCCAAATCTGCTGCCTTCTGTAGAAGGTATTTGCACTTGATGTTTTTGTATGGGTTCAGAAGTAACGGCACTTGGTGGAAGTCAGATGCCTCGCTATCCTCTGCCTTTGAAAGTCTCAGTGAAGACAGCACTAAAGATTGGTAAGAGAGATTCACCCCCCTTGATAAGCACTGCCAAAGCCAGCCCCGGCAGCGTAAGAGTACCTACGCTTTCTGAGTCCTCGAGCATCCTGGCGGTCTCCTGCACAGCAGGGGCACTGGGAACCACCACTGGCACGGGAGGGCGAGTTCTTCCTAAGGTCCCAATTGACGCGGTCTTCACCGAGTGAACTGGATGGTTGGGAGCTTAAAATAAATGGGTAGATAGATATGCCTCTGTTAATTAGTTCTTTTGCCTAGTTGCAAACGTTCAAAAGCAGGAGAAAAAAAGGATTCTATTAGAGAAAAAGGAATGCTTCAAAGCAGGGAGAGCTGGATTTGATTTTTCTCTACTTTCTATGTACTTAGCATAAAAGGGCCTGGAAAATTATACCAACAAAATTCAGTCCAGCCTCTGACATGATTACTTTGATGCCAAATTCTACCTCCCCCTCGTTTTCTTAAAATCCTCCTTTCTCTTTCCTCCACTCACCTTGCTGGGTCAGTAAGGGCGTGCTTGGCAGTGCAGGGTCATACGTGGAACCAGCTGCTGGGACCGCTGGCACCGCAAAACTCTTGAGTGGGTGGGAAGGACGGACGTGTGCCGTGGGGAGGTTCTGAGCCGAGTCCTCTTCTTGTGCATTGGCTAAGTATGATCCCGTGGTGCTTTCAGGATCCTGGTGGTCAGCACACGTCTGAGACGAGGAAGCCGGCATGGTGTCCGTGCTAGGTGTGTTTCGAACGGATTCTACAATACAACAGGCCAATAAAAAAAGTGGCTTATTTTCTTGAACAGAAACATTCTCTGTGGTCAAAGGGGAACGAAGCAGTTGTGTTTGCAAGCACCTTCTCCAAGACAGCTGTTAGAAGCTAAGAAGTGAATTCACAGAATCGCTCGGTTGGAAAAGCCCTCTGAGATCATCATGTCCAACCGCTCCTGTCTACCCACTAAACCATATCCTTAAGTACCTCATCTACCCGCTCTTTAAATACATCCAGGGATGGTGACTCCACCACCTCCCTGGGCAGCCTGTTCCAGCTTCTGACGACCCTCTCAGTAAAGAACTTCCTCCTTATCTCTGACCTGAACCTCCCTTGGCACAGCTTGGTGCCGTTTCCCCTTGTTCTATCCCCCATCACCTGGGAGAAGAGACCAGCACCCACCTCTCCACAACCTCCCTCTAGGCAGTTGTAGGTGGTGCTGAGGTCTCCCCTCAGCCTTCTCTTCTCCAGGCTAAACAAGCCCAGTTCCCTCAGCCGCTCCTCATAAGGCTTGTTCTCCAGAGCCCTCACCATCCTAACACATCCAGTCACACATTAACTACTTGTGTAGCAAATAGCACCGACCCTGCGTAATCGTCCTTTTTTAAGGTAAACAGCAATGGCTGTCTAATAGCAAAATAAGCTTGAGAACTGAGTGACTCCACAGGCATAATACCAGATCAACCCTTTGCACTGAAACAGCTACATGTAATAGTACCTCAGATAAAGAGCATGGAACACAAGTCTTCATTCTCATTTTACCCTTCAGTATTTGGCAGTACTGGCATTCTCTAAGAGGTTAAGGGTTAAGGATGGATCGCTGTAGTGCATACAGAAAAGCCACATTTTTTCCATGATAGACTTGGAATCCCCTTACTTGCTGAAAGCTCAAGTGAAATCACAGGCTTCATTTGTTTGTCTGCAGCAGGCTCCACGCTGATCTAAGAGAACGATGAGGTGTCTATTGAATTTAGGGCATTGTAACCCTACTCGGACCACATGCAGGAAAGAATATGGATTATGAGAGCTGTCACTTCAGCAGTATAAACCAGAACAAGAGGAACCTCTGCCTCTGACACACCATCTGCCTGTGTATTTGCCTCGTCAATTGTTTTCAGAAGGAAATGGGAAACACCACCACTGGCTGTGGCACCTTAATTGAAACATAGCCCTTAAGCTAGAGAAGCTCAGCATTTTCTTCACCTCAAGATGTCACCTACGTGCAATTTAGCAATACTGTTGCTTCAGAATTTTTTCAGAGCACTGGAGACATTCCAAAAACCATTGCAACAGACTGTGCTTCGAGCCTGAAAATGCTGCATAGAAATCACCATAATTTTCTGTGTGCTTCAGGAAGATTAACTAGTGTCAGCTCTCAGGAGCAAAGCCTGGACTTTTGTCCTTTCTCGGGTTTAAAGGCAGCCAATTAGGAAAAAAGTTATCAAATTAAGAAGCTCAAATCAGATTTAAACTGATGTTTCAGACTCCAGGGCAGAAGGCTTTAGAATCTGGAATCTTCCTGTTTGAAGCTGCATATGAAACATTAACCCTCTTTTTCCAAGGACATCCTCACGTCAAGGACCAATTTCTGATCTACACAAAACCATGTACAGAAAATTCGACTTATCAACAGTATTGTCTGTACTTAAACCCACCCCTCTGCCTCTCACGGAACACCACAAAGGACCAAGTTAAGGTTCAGGTTTTGATTTCCACATGTTTCACTCATTGTTCCATTACAAGCAAAATCTACCTGGTCATCGATATCTCACCTGTGGAATTGGCCCTGTCTGAATGGGACATGGATGTGCCAATCGGCCACGGGTTGACTTGATGATGGAGATAGCTGCGAGTTGGAGAAGCGAGGCTGCCGGAGTGGAAATGATGGTGAGGGTTATCAAGTGAATGGATGGGATGAGCACTAATCACAGCTGTGAATGAATACAAGACAGAAAAATGCTTAACATACAGACAAAGCATGCACGTGTACTGAAACGCACCACATCCCTCCCTTCTCCCCCAGAGCCCTGGACAGGGGAGCCAAGCGCTCAGCAGATTTACTGTGACACCAAGATGAGGTGTTTCAATCCCAACTCTGCTCTAGCACTTTAGCTCCAGAAAGAAGCAGAGCTCTTAATTTTCCCCGTGCACAAAGTGCATCTCTCTTGGCTGTGTCTTTCAAGCGCTTTCTGTTACACTTGAGGAAAAGAAACTTCAGTTCCCCTTAGAACTTCATGTATTTATTTCATGTTGTGCTCTAAATGTCAGACCTAATACAGGAGATGTATGAGCTCAAATTCCAAAATAATTTCTGGCTGTCATTAAATTTCTGAACATTGTAACCAAATGTGGCATCGTTGGTTAACTAAATAATGCGAGGCAAATGATAAGAGTAGGGCAAGACACCAAAGTGCCATGTGCAGACTTAGTAAAGCTCTGCTCCAATACATTCCACCCAAAAGCCTCTTTTTTCTTTCTTTCCTCTTCTTTTTTAATTTTGCTGTTTTCTTTGTCCTGTATGAGAGACATGAACTTTGTACTTCATGTAAATCATGCTTTGCCCTCCCCCTTTTGTGGTAACAGCAAAACAAACTCCCCAGCGGGGAGGAAAAGCGTGTGCAGAATTTACTCCTTATGACAGACTAAAATACTGAATAGCTTCAAATCATCCAAAAGAGTGAGTGTTAACACAGAAAACAGGAGGGAAATGCAGCCACGAACACCATAAGGGAAAAAAAAGGTTGTGGTTGGTTTTCTTTTGAACCTGGAAATTCTCCAGATGTGCTGCCTGTGAAAGTTACTTTCTAGGAATGACGTGGTGCACAAATCCATCATGGTAACAGTGAGTTCAGTTCAGGCTTCCTGCCTTGATGCACATGGCTTGAACTCAGAGGCTGACTAAACAAATCTGAACCCTCTGACCTCCTCAAGTCCTGGAAAACCGCCTGTCAGCAGGACTTGGTGTGTGGCTTGATCAGCGGAGGCAACGTACTGAAAAGATGTTCAGCTATTAGTGATAAACAATTTTTCTTCCCCACTGAGAACAACTGGCCAACAGAAAGCCAATGTCACTATCAGCCTACTGTAAATGAAGAGTAACTACACTGTACTGAGTAATCAGTAGGTTCTAGATTTAACTCCTGTGAGACAGCTGTCAAGGGGACACGAAAAGTCAGATATTGTCATTAAGAGCTTCAAAGTGAGATTAAAATGCCACTTTGTCTTGCAGGGAACTGGCCAATGGAGAAAGAAACCACAAAAACCTGGCAATCAGAGATCTGGGCAGAGGCAACAGTCATCAGAGACACCAGGACTTCTATGTGTCAGGAAGGTAGGAGACAAAGACTGTAAGGCATAAAACTTTACAGGCATAAACATTTTAGTTGCTTCTATTTCTCAAAACCAATGGTCTACACCTGTGTTTCAGCAAGCATTTTACTCACTATGAAATGTAATGCATGTTAGTACAAAAGACTACCTAGATATTTTTGCAACCACAGTTAAAATTCATGGACGTACATTACACCTTTCAAGACATTTCCTAAAAGCCTGGAGACGGAGAGAACACCACAAAATTGCCGTAGCTCTGAAACACTATCCAAAGCAGAATATGGTTAGACAGTGGGGAAAACCTGATCCAGTGCAAAGCCACGTCCCCAGAAAGTCTCCCCTGCCACCGAGCTTAAACTGCTGGGTTTTGCTAATAATTTGCTGGGTTATCAGCACTAAATCATGGGTAGCTTTACAGGTCAGGAATCAGTACGTTGCACCACCAGCTCTTAATGAAGATCACAATGTGATGATAAATTTCAAGGAAGAGAAGAGTACAGATGAAGAACTGGATGAAGAGAAGTGTGGTGTGTGAAGGAAGAAACAGCCCTTTGCTTCCCAATACCCTTCCAGAATTTTACTGGAAAGAAGGACCAACCAGGTCTAGAAGGACCAACCAGGGCATACACCATTCCT